TAAATGCTATAAATAAATTCTAAACTTCATGTCACATTTCTGCAGCAAAAAACTTAACAGCCCCCCCTCCCCCATGGCTTAAAAAGTTCTTAATATTGTGTTTACTTACCTCAGTCTATGGTGTTTTTTGTACACCATAGTACTTGGAATATATTAAAGTTTTAGATTAAGGTACGAATAAATAATAGCTGAATAGGGGAAGGAACTATAGCTCAACGGTTGTGCATACAGAAGATATTACACACACAACAAGTTCATATGCAGAACTCCATGCAAACTGTGTGTCCCATCGCATCACACATGAGGATTGATATACATTTATCTTTTTTTTTTTTTAACGAAGAACACAGAATACCACATACATGTGTGATTGCTACATGGAACAATCCGCTTACTGTTGGCATGGAATTCTCCACATGGAATGGCATTTGTGTAGAAAACATCACAGCAGACCTCAATCATTTGTTATTGTGTTAACATTTTCTTTGAGGCATGTGCATAATGGTTTAGGTATGCAGTGTTAAATTTCAGAAATGTGTATTTAGATCTATTTAGAATTTAAGAACTAAGAACCAGTAATACAAAATGGAATGCATTTTATAAAGTCAAATTTCCTGGACCTAAATTTGTTTTGGGTTTTGTATTCTGTCTAAGCATAGCCTAAATATATATTTATCTCTGCATTTTTTAAGAATAAACGTTTGGAGGAAGTGAAGCGGCAAGAACAAGAGCTCCTGGAAGCTCAGTCCATTCCATTGAGAAACTACTTAATGAAGCATGTCATGCCAACACTTATGCAAGGCTTGAATCACTGCTGCATGGTTAGGCCAGATGACCCTGTTGACTTTCTGGTAAGGAAATGCATTTTCCCTGTATTTGTCTGTCTGTCTTTTTCAATTATAGTTAAAAAAAAAAAGTATGTCCCATTTTTTATTACATACTTGTGAATTCTAGACATGCTACATTGTTGTCATAAACCCAACAAAGATTTTTGTACTGTCCTGCCTTTATTCCATCAGTCACTGTGGGCAACCTACAGTTTCACCAGTAAAACTCATTTGAAGCCCAAATTTTGACATTTGCTTCATTTGTTCAACTGTGAAAAATCAAACTGTGCACTACAGTTGATTCCAAATTGCTTCTTTTTGGCTCACTCTCCAATCAGTTTTCTTTGCCCCCAATAGCACTGTCACTTAGCCAAATCTAACTGGCTGCATAGTGTTGCAATATCATTCTAATTATGGGTTTTAGGTGAGGGGTAGTACTTCTGGTGAGAAACATGTTGTGCTCCTTCTGGGGTAGTTTGTTGACATTATTATTATTATTATTATTATTATTATTATTATTTTGGTCCCAACCCTGCACTCCGCTCTGGCGGATTGAGTGGGTGAGACCAATAGTGAGTCCAGCGGTCAAGAAGCAGTGCACAGAAATGGAAAATGGTGAACAATCACACAATTTTGGAGGGTTTCAATAAGTACAATGATGTTAGTATAAGCCACTGTTCAGTGCTATATGTACGGAAACAAACCTATATTATGGTATGAAAAATTTGTGACTTTTTTTGGGTAAATTTTAAATCAACAGGCAGAATATCTCTTCAAGAATAATCCTGAATTTGACTAAGAAGTATGCAACCTCATCGCAATATCAGGTGTAGTTTCAGATTATTATGTTTCCTCTTTATCACTGTAAAATAATACTGGAATAAAAAGTTTCATGATTGTTCAAGATTTGTGGTTAGTTTCATATTATCCTCTTACCCTCAAAAGTGCTCTGACATAGCATAAGAAGGCCCACATTTGTATTTAGAGCAGATAAGCCACATGCAATAAAGTGTTAAGCACTGTCTCCACACCATTTTATTTGCTCTAAATCTGAAAGTCCCTTTTCCTGAAAAGATCAATGTTTGGTTGCACATGCTTATATGTAGCATGTACTTAAGCTCCAGAAGTAGTGGGCATGAAGACTTTGCAATTCCCTTTCATGTCGTACTACAAGTTCTTTTTACAGTGCAATCCCATGCGACTTTATTCAGCAGTAATTCTCACTGGTCAGAGGAACTTACTCAATGCAAGTGTACTTTGGATTGATAAAAGGAAAAAAATCAAGCTTAAACCATCTATGATCTTGGACAATTGCCACAGAGTCATACGAAAAGTAGACCCATTAATTTCAATGGTCATCAATTTTAGTGAGTCTAAGTATGATCTGGTTGCATACAGCTTCCCCCTTCTTTCCCTATTTGAGTAAGATATTGGAAAGGCTGGAGCCCTCTAACAGTGAGGGGGGAAAGTACCGTATTTTTCGCTATATAAGACGCACCAGACCACAAGACGCACCTAGTTTTTGGAGGAGGAAAACAAGAAAAAAAAATATTCTGAATCTCAGAAGCCAGAACAGCAAGAAGGATTGCTGCGCAGTGAAAGCAGCAATCCCTCTTGCTGTTCTGGCTTCTGGGATAGCTGTGCAGCCTGCATTTGCTCCATAAGACACACACACATTTCCCCTTACTTTTTAGGAGGGAAAAAGTGAGTCTTATAGAGCAAAAAATACGGTATTTGATCCCCTGCTAAATTTTCCCATTTGCCCTCTGACGAAGAAATGACCAGTCCATAATTGTAATGGTAGGTTTATTGTAGCTGTGAGAGACAGAATAACAACAGGAAAACCTCCAGAAACCCAGAAGACAAAAGTCAGAGATTGATGTGCATTATAACGAGTGAAATAAGTGCAGTGGTACCTCAGGTTAAGTACTTAATTCGTTTTGGAGGTCTGTTCTTAACCTGAAGCACCACTTTAGCTAATGGGGCCTCCTGCTGCTGCCGCGCCACCGCTGCATGCTTTCTGTTCTCATCCTGAAGCAAAGTTCTTAATCCGAGGTAATATTTCTGGGTTAGCAGAGTCTGTAACCTGAAGCGTATGTAACCCGAGGTACCACTGTATTTGATCCCCTATCAACCAGCCAGGTGTCAGGCTACCTGGTATCTTCACTGTATGTAACGAGCTGAGATTAGAAGCACCTGCTATAAGGGAGAGGTCTTGCTTGTAATCCCAGCTTGTTACAGTACCTGTACAAAAGGCACCTGTCAACAGAAGCAATCAATCCAGCAGATTCCAAACTAGTCACCATGACCAAGACCAAAGAGCTGTCCAAGCATGTCAGGGACCAGAATGTAGACCTGCACAAGGCTGGAATGGGCTATTAGACTATTGCCAAGCACCTTGGTGAGAAGGTGACAACAGTTGATGCAATAATTCGCAAATGGAAGAAACACAAAAACAACTATCAACCTCCCTCGGTCTGGGGCTCCATGCAAGATCGCATCTTGTGGAATTGCAATGATCAGGAGAACGGTGATGAAGCAGCCCAGAACTACACGGGGGGAACTTGTCAATGATCTCAGAGCAGCTGGGACCATAGTCACCATGAAAACAGTTGGTAACACACTACGCCGTGAAGGACTGAGATCTTGCAGAGCCCGCAAGGTCCCCTTCCTCAAGACAGCACATGTACAGGCCCGTCAGCAATTTGCCAATGCACATCTGAATGACCCAGAGAAGTGGGTGAAAGTGTTGTGGTCAGATGAGACCAAAATTGAGCTCTTTGGCACCAACTCAACTCGCCGTGTTTGGAGGAGGAGGAATGCTGCCTACGACCCCAAGAACACCATCCCCACTGTCAAACATGGAGGGGGACATATATTATGCTTTGGGGGTGTTTTTCTGCTAAGGGGACAGGACACCTTCACTGCATCGAAGGGACGATGGACGGGACCATGTATCGTCAAATCTTGGGTGAGCACCTCCTTCCCTCAGCCAGGGCATTGAAAATGGGTCGAGGATGTGTATTCCAGCGTGACAATGACCCAAAACACCCGGCCAAGGTAACAAAGGAGTGGCTCAAGAAGAAGCACATTAAGGTCCTGGAGTGGCCTAGACAGTCTCCAGACCTTAATCCCATCAAAAATCGTTGGAGGGAGCTGAAGGTTTGAGTAGCTACACATCAGCCTCAAAACCTTTCTGACTTGGAGATCTGCAAAGAGGAGTGGGACAAAATACCTCCTGAGATGTGTGCAAACCTGGTGGCCACCTACAAGAAATGTCTCCTGGGAACTGTAGCTTAATGGTGCTGGGAACACAGTTCCCAGGAATCGGGGGGGGGGGAGGGCAGGGGAGCCAGGTGCTGTAAACGTAGAGTGGATGTGACCCTGTTTTTCATGGTTTTGTTCTTCATCAGGCAACAATCCAGGGCCGGATTTAGGCTTGATGAGGTCCTAAGCTACTGAAGGTAATGGGGCCCTTTATATGTCCAGCCCTTTATATGTCTGGCCCTTTATATGTCCTTTGTCAACAACAAATTGTCACTTTTTTGTGTTGAATATATGCTATATGGTAATTTATGGACCTAATAGGTATCTAAAGCTATTTGCACATAACAAATTATGTATTTTATCAAAGTAATTGTTGAACTAAAATACAATTAAGAAAAGTATATTAATAGTGAAATTGGGGGGGGCAAGAGAGAGGGCCCCTAATCTATAGCTTGTTTAGTTTATACGTAAATCCGGCACTGCAACAATCCTATCGTTTACAAACTTTTAACGGTCCTCCTATAAAGTGGATTAAATGAGTGATAATTATGCGCTAAACCGGCGTAGTGGCTCGCAAGGAATTACACCAGAATGCAAACGTCTCCAAGCGCGTACTAGATGGATCTCTTCCTCTTTGCCGCTTAGGAAAGGCAAACAGCAAAGGACGGGTTAACTCCGAACTGCGCGCCGCCAAGCGAGTACTTTCCTCTGGCGCCTGCGCATCAGCCGCGCCAGCCGTTGGCAGCTTTCAAAAGTTCGAACTCGCCTGCCTGCAAGGACTACACTTCCCGCCAGCCAACGCAAAGGCCTGGCGCATGCGCGGGAGCGCACGTCTCTCGACGCAGGGCGGGCGCCGCCGTTGCGTCAGCGCGCCAACTGGCCCTGCACGCCTCTGCCCCCCTCCCCTCCCTCGCCCCAGAACGTTGCTGTGGTAGCGCCTGGGCGCCATGTTAGGAGGCCGGAGGGGAAGAGGAAGGACTAGAGGAAGCGGCGGCGGCAGCAGCAACAACAGCGGCGGCGGCGGCGGCCACCAGGCCTAGCAAGCGGCTCTCTCCCCTCGGCCGGAGGGCCCGAGCCAGGCCCGTATCATGCTCGCGTCGCCCGCTTCCCAGGGGCAGGAAGAGTGACTGTTCCGGGGAAGAGGTGGCGGCGCTTAACCCACAGCCGGAGAGACGATGCCGTTGTAAGTGGAGGCCGGGTCTGGCGTGAGGGGGGCGGGCGGGTGGAAGAAGCCCCGGGAAGCCTGGCAGGGGACTTCGGAGGCAACCTGAGCGAGCGCTTCCGGGACCCACGGCTTCCCCTCCTCGCCGTGTAGGCCCTCCGTTTGAACCCGCCTCGTCGTCCCTCATTTCCCTTGGTGCACGGGTGCTCTCCCTTCCCACGCTCGCTCTCTCTGTGTGTTTCGGCGCCTGAGGGCCTCGTTCCTCTCGCTCCCCCCCCTTTTTTTGCCCTGGCGCAGAACTTCGCGGGAGGAGGGGGTGGCCTCGGCGGCGCCTACGACCCTCAGCCGTAGCCCCACAACAAGTGGCGGCGGGCATTTCACGCCTCGCCTCACACTCGGCCCTCTTGCCGCTTTCTCAGGCCTTGTGGGGGGTGAGCGTTTTGTGGGGGAGAGAGAGGACGCATGTGCGGCGTCTCGCGGGCGCCGAGGCCTATCTGGGGAGGTGCGCAGGCCCCGCCGCGCGCCGGAATCAGCCGGATGGTGGCAAAAGTCTGCCAACCAACTGCTGGGAGCGCCATCGCCGCCTCCCTCCCGCCGGTGTTGCGAAATCCCTGCCCACCTTCCTCCCCGCATCCCCGCCACACGTTATTTGAAGGGGGGGGGCTGGCTGGCGGGAATTGCAACGCGCACGAAAAATCCAGTGCTGCTTAGGAGATCTTGCCTGAAGCACACCTGCAGCTTTTTAAAGTTGCACGCCTCTGTTGAGTAATACCTGGAGAGGGCCAGCTTATTTTGTGGCCTTAGCCCTCCTTTGTTTTGTTTTCTCTCCAACTAGAGGTTTTCTGTTGGCCGCTGAACATCTCGCTATACAGTTCTATGTAAATGTGTTGGCACTCGTTTGGTTGCACCGTGTTCCTTGTGAGGCATTGTCATGCTCGTGAACGCATTTTTAAAAACAAATTGTATTTGGGGTAACTGGCATTTTGTGCACAACATATATTAAAAACCCATTCAAAGCACAACACACACCCCAGAAAAGAATTCTGGGAACTGTAGTTCTGCTCCCAGTCCCAGAGCTTCAATTCCCAGCATGCTGAACAAATTGCAGTTCCCAGGATGTAGGTGGGGGTGTATTTTTTTAAATGCATGGTATGTGCACAGCCCAAGTCTACATTTATAATTTTGTGTACAGTTCTTTTCTGATTCACAATGTTTGCTGGGGGTTGAACTGTGCGTTCTAGTTTCATTCTACTGCAGAAACCCCTGGAGAGTCTACAAAATAAATGTTTGTTTTCATTGTGTGAACTTTGCCATAGTTGTGTGCTGGGTATGTTAGGTAAATAATCCTTGGCAATTCTTAATAGTGAGTATATGTTTGTGAAATGTATGTAATAGGTTTTTTAATGGTTTTTGGAAACAGTTGTTTCAGATTCCTTTCTGAATGTCTTGCAAAAACTAGTATAACAAAGTTGTAAGATCCTGAATGAAAAACTAGTTGGTGACTTGAGGTGATGATAATGAGCACATTCCCTCTTTTCAAATATGGATTTGTTTCATGTATTTTTCATTAACATTTACTTTTGAAAAATTTAAGAGACTATCCCCTGCAGCCAGTGTTAGAAACTCAAGTATATAAGCTAGGTGCCAAATGGCTCTTTAAACCAAAATGGAATGTCTAGTTGCCATTGTGGGGTAAGGTGGCTCTAAAGTCTTATTTTTCAAATGATTGATTGACTGTGATTGATTATGAATTAAACATCTGACAACCTTGAGCTAACTTAAGAACTTTGAGAACTTTTAAGAAGAAAAGTCACTTGATCCAGGGACAGTCCACGTACATATTGGCCTATTTCTACCTCTTTTTCTTAAATGTGGCTGCTCCTGCTCAGGCTGCACAGAAAAAGCATTTTGGTTCCTGGAATTCATTCTGATTGTGCAGTTAAAATATAACTGAATTCTATAGGATGGGGTCTTAGTGTGTGAAAACAGTGATCCCCAGGCATGCACCTCCAGGTGGTGGAGGTGTGAGGCGCTATCCTGGTGCCCAGGCATCTTTACTTGGTCACAAGTGGTTGATAGCCAGCTGCAAAATATGCCTGGCTAATTTTGAACATTGCCTGCAGCAGATGAATAACTTACAATGAAATATTGTAAAGTTTTATCTGCCTGTTTGCCAACATCATAATTGTATTTGAGAGGACCACTTTAGAAAAATAAAGAGCTCTACATACTTTTGAGGATCAGGCTATATCCAAACCCTTATGAGTTCATTTAAGTGAGAGAAATTGAGGGTTCTTTCCAAAACTTACCAGTTTAATACATGATATAAATGTGGAGACTGGTTTTTAATTTGATACAATATTTGATATAAAACAAATTCATCAAAAGAATAGAATTCAGTAAAGTAAAAGTAACTCCTGGTACTGCAAGGCTACATGGAGCTTTACTCCAGAATAAGCTGGATCCAGTACCTGTAATACCCTTCAGCATGTACAAAGTAGGATTTCCCCTTTTTCTAACAGCATCCCTCCCGCAACATATTGCAAACTGCTTATGAAGGTTGATGAATTTGCTAGTATTTAGCAAAATTATTATATATTGCATAAAACAAAAGGGAAGCAGTAGAGACGATAACAAAAATGTGTTTCCGAGTACATGTATGTAAGATACAGTTTAAGAATTATACTCTTAATGTTTTTAAAAAGGTTGCTGAGCATCACATAATACTTCATTGGAATTTTTATTTCTCTTTTTTCCATTGTTTTTAAGCACTTTATATAATAAAGTGTCTTCCCGTGCCTTGTTTTTGCTGTGAAGGTAGTGTTCCCCAGCAGTCAATGTTGAATTTTCTTTGGAGTCAGGTTGAAGGCTCTTTGGGATGGAGCATAGTGGTGCTTTTCAATGTTTTATTTAGATCTTTGAGTGCCATAACAAGGCAACATGGGGTGAAGAAACTTTAAAACTTTTCCCAGTACTGACAGAATACATAAAAGAGAAATAGGATTGAAAGCTTTCATTATGGTTGTGTCCTTGATTAATAAAATCATAAGGATCAGAAAAGATAAACTAGTGCTGTCTGTTTCTTCTGTACTGGAACTGGAGGAAAGGTTGTTTGGGTTGTAACAGTGATTAGCTCCCTTCTCCCTCAGTAAGTAAGCATTGTACTTTGTGGAAGTGTATTGTGGACTTAGAATCTTTTGGGGAAATTTTAGTTTGTTTGGTTTGAATTTTAGAATCAAATGCAACTGATTAAAGGGGTAGTACACTATGTATTTTGAAGGGAGAATCCATAGTTTCTTCATGGTGCTTAAACATCTGATTTGAGTGTCTTTGTATTGTTCGTGGAATTGATCTAACCATATTATAATTAGTTTTACTGTAGCCTTAGCCTGAGCTCAGCTTATATTGGGATGTGTAATGTATGGTCAGAGAGAAAAACCCTCTCTTTGTGGTAGGGTTGGAGGCTTGACAACCATAATTTTTTTGGTTCGCTACAAGTTGTAGACTTGAGTGGGGGGGGAATGGATCACTGATGAGAGTGGTTTAATTTGTTTTCTACTATAAAACTTGTTGATGATTAAAGTGTGTTTAATTCATATTTAGTATGAAAGTATGGCCTTATGTAGAATAGGGTTTTTCCATTGCCTTGTAACTCCCAAAGAGGTTGAAAGATTTTATTTCTGGAAGCTTTGAAAATATTTGTTGTAATAATGATTGGCTTTGGGTTTTTTTTAAATGCATCATTGTTTTCCACCCTTTGCTTCTTTTAGAGACAGGGCTGGATGAAAATCATTTAATCTTCATAATAAAAGCCTCTCCTCTCAGGAAAGGCTTATTTAGGATGTGTTTGTTTGCTGAAAATGACAGAAATCAGGCTGGGCTCACTCAGTTTACATCTCTCTTCATAGCAGTATCATTTTAGTTCTAATGAAGATGATGGTTTGAAAACATATGATAGGTCAACTGGCTTATTTTTTGACTTGTCACACAAATACACAAGTCTAGTGAAGGTTATAGTGTTTTTTATTACTGCATTATATAGAAAATAAATTCTTCATTTGTAGCTTGTAATGGAATTTAAGCCATTTTGAATATATTGTGGGACAGAGCTTCATAAGTACAATTCAAATCAACAATGTACAGTGGTGCCTCGCAAGACGAAAAGAATCCGTTCCGCGATTCTTTTCTTCTAGCGGTTTTTTCGTCTTGCGAAGCAACCCCATTGGCTAAGCGGATTAGCGATTTAGCGCTCTTAGCGGGCTTAGCGGCTAAGCTGTTAAAAGGCTATTAACAGCTTAGCGGCTTTGAAAAAGGGGAAAAAAGCGGGGGGGATGGCGAGACTCGCAAGACGTTTTCGTCTTGCAAAGCAAGCCCATAGGGAACTTCGTCTTGTGAAGCGCCTCCGCGACGGAAAACCCTTTCGTCTTGCGGGTTTTTCGTCTTGCGAGGCATTCGTCTTGCGGGGCACCACTGTATGTGCATGTTGTACAACTAACAATGATGTACAGAAAATTTCCCAGACCTTTTTTTTTTTTTGCAGCTTTTTTTTATTAGCATATGTTAATTAGTAACGAGTGGATGCTAGTTGCAGATGCAGTATTATACATGTTTGACAGTTTCAAAGTTTTTAGCTTTGTTTACTGACTGCAAGTAAAATAAACTTGCTAAATTAGATCACTTTGGGGGCATCACAAATGCAAACTGGAAATTTCCCCCCAAATCCCCACAGTACTAGTAATTACAGTCATACCTCATGTTACGTTTGCTTCAGGTTATGTGTTTTCAGGTTGCAGACCGTGGGAAACCCGGAAGTACCGGAACAGTTTACTTCTTGGTTTCGCCGTCTGCGTAGAAGTGCTAAATCACACTTCACGCATGCGCTGAAGTGCCAAATGGCGCCTGCGCAGACATGGCGCTTCAGTTTGCGAATGCTGTGGGTTGTGGACGTGCCTCTGTCACAGATTACATCTGCAACCCGAGGTTCCACTGTATATTATAATTATTTTTAAATGGTTGTTTCT